GGATCAGAACATGTTTGTGTTAAAAATCTATAAGTTTTCCCACATCCATCTTGGAAGAAAGTACATAACCATCATTTCCCAGAGGGGGAAAGAATAGCCAGAACTCTAAGCCCTTACCACCATAAGAGCTAACACAATTGCAGCAGATTCCGTCTGTGACCCACACATCAGTTCAGTTCAGTCGCTCAGTTGTGTCGGATTCTTTGCGACCCCATGAACTGCAGCACACCAGGTCTCCCTGTCCATCACCAACTCCTGGAGTCCACCCAAACCCACGTCCGTTGAGTCGGTGATGCCATCCAACCATCTCATCCTCTGTCGTTCCCTTCTCCTCCTGCCCTCAATCTTTCCCAGCATCAGGGTGAGCCTCAGCTTCAACATCAGTCCTTCCAATGAACACCTTTAAGATGGGAGTTATTTCTCCACTGACCTCCAGTAGCATATTGGGCACCGACCAACCTGGGGAGTTCCTCTTCCAGTATCCTATCATTTTGCCTTTTCATACTGTTCATGCAGTTCTCAAGGCAAGAATACTGAAGTGGTTTGCCATTCCCTTCTCCAGTGGACCACATTCTGTCATACCTCTCCACCATGACCCATCCATCTTGGGTGGTCCCACATGGCATGGCTTAGTTTCATTGAGTTAGACAAGGCTGTGGTCCATGGGATCAAATACTTTCACAACTTACCAATTCACACACACAGACCTGACTTCCAAATGCCAGCACTTGCATAAAGGCTTTTTGTTGTTGCTTAAGTGATCTTTCTCACTCAAGTGGCAGAAGAGAACTGCCAAGGAATTGGAATTAACACAAATAGGAATAGTCTTAACTCAGTAACTGTTGGCATTTCATATACAAATAAATACTCCAGCTTCTTTGCCTCTCAAATGGTTAACTTAGGTATATATTTTACTCTGTTTCCCCAAGTTTCCCACGGGATATTAAGCTCCAGTTGTCCAAAACTATAAATTGCTTAATAAGACACTCTATATTGGCTGTCAAATCAGTGCCTTATTACATATAGGTACATTATTATTTCATCTAATCATCTCCAGAACTCTTTAATGTACACCAAAAAAAGAGGAATCTGATTCAGTGGGTTAAGGATAAACTAACCATTGCTCAGAGTCACAGAGCAAGCCATGATCGTAATACAGTATGTCCAGAACTTGTGCTCCTTCCACAAAGGAACAGAACACAGAGGGGGGCGGATTCCATTCAAATAGGATTATATCTCAAACCTACAAAGAAGTCCTGCTATCTTGATTTTCAAAGTAAACTGACTTTAAAAAAGTGTTTAATGCACACTAGTCTTATTAAAGTATATCAGTAATGTCATTATGAATTATATATATTTAAAATAACTGGTAATGGGCAATATGAGTACTTTCCAATTTTTTAAAATAATCATATCTCTTCACAGATACCTCTTCTCATATTCCTGATGAGAGTGATGGAGTAAAGGAATTTGTTTTTCTTATACACACTATAAACTAAAAAACAAAAATAAATAAGACACTTGTAATTATATAATTCAAGACTTTAAGGAAATATATTTTATCAATTTTACTTATCAAAATTAAAATGTTAAATATTAGAAAAATGACATTTAAATGTCCACATTTTGGCATATTTCATTTATTCATTCAACACACACTTATGCTGGTTCTAAACTGTATAAAATACACCTTGTGACTAGTTTGTTATTACAGACAAGGAAGAAAGGAGGAAAAATCAAGTAAACTTCAGAATGGAAGGAGAAAAGATGAAAAACAGAGAAATTTTACAGACTGCCAACCACAATTTTTGTAGCTTTACAACTACATATACAAATACAGAAAAATTCATTCATTCACTCAACAAATGCCAAAAAACTACTGAAAAGTCGACAATGCTAGCAGCTGGGTATACAATGACAGAAAATAGTAGTACTTGCCTTAAGTTGCCTAAAATTAAGTTGGTTAGCAAAGGAAACTACCAAAACATCAAAAGGCAGAATACTGAATGGGGAAATATATTTGTAAATGGTATATCTGATGAAGGGTTAATATGCAAAATATACAAAGAACTCATACAACTCAACATCAAAAACAAAAAACTTGATCGAAAAATAAGCAGAGGATCTAAATAGGTATTTCTTCAAAATAGACACAGATGGCCAATAGGTACGTGAAAAAGAGCTCAACATCACTGCACATCAGAGAACTGCAAGTCAAAACCACCATCATGAGCTTTTCACACCATCAGAATGGATATTATCAAAAAGACAAGAAGTAACAAGTGTTGACGAGGGTGCAAAGAAAAAGGACCCCTGTGCACTGTTGGTGAGAATGTAAATCAGTGCAACCACTAAGAAAAACAGTATGGAGGTTGCTCAAAAAATTAAAAATAGAACTACTATATGATCCAGTAATCCACTTCATGGTATTTATCCAAAAAAAAAAACAAAACACTAACTCAAAAAGATATAGGCACCCACATGTTCACTGCAGCATTGTTTACAATAGCCAAGATAAGGAAGCAACCTAAGTATCCACCCATAAGTGAACAGAGAAAGAAGTTGGTTTATACACATACACACGCGCACGCGCACAATGGTATATCATTCAGCCATAAAAAATTACATCTTGCCATATGCAACAATATGGATAAATCTAGAGGGTATTATGCTAAGTAAGTCAGGCAAATACCATATGACTTCATATATGGAATCTAGAAGGGCAGGGTGTGGGGTGGTGGAGTAAAGAAGTGAAGGGAATTAACCTCCATTTATAAAATACATACGGCATGGAGATGTAATACATAAAGAATACGGTTAGTAATATTGTAATAACTTTGTATGTGGACAGATAGTTACTAGACTTTGTGATGATCACTTTAAAATGTATGTAAATGTCAAATCACTACACAGCATACCTGAAACATAATATTGTATATCAATTATATTTCAATATTAAAAAATCCTGCCCATTACCTCTTTCTAACAACAAAAAAGTAAATAATCTACATTAACCTAACAAATATTAAACTGAATTACTTCAAAAGCATTATAAGTAGAAAATCTGATAAATTTCTGGGCTTTCTTCAGAACACGTGTGCTTAATAATATAAGCATCACTGATATAATGTTGACAAAGCTGCATGGTTCAATAGAAAGTCCAGAGGCTTAAAGTTTCATATACATGGGGCAAGAAGCCTAGCTCCATCACTTAATTGGCTTTTTTACCATTGGCAAGTCATTTATTAACTGAAATAAACATAACAAAAATTACCTGGTTGTTGAAAGGATTAAATAATGTCAACTGTAAAGTAAATAGCACAATGCTAGTTAAAAAAACATGTCCTCAATAACTATTAGCTCTCACATTCAAATACATTTCAAATATTGTGAAAATAGAACACCAAAAGCCTGGAATGGTCACTTTGTTTTATATTTTACTCTTCACTAGAAAAATTAATACATTGACTTTTTATTTCCTAGTAAAGATTAATGTATTCGCTTTCCTGGTAGCTCAGATGGTAAAAAATTTGCCTGCAATATGGGAGACCCAGGTTTGATTTCTGAGTCGGGAAGATCCCCTGGAGAAGGAGCTGGCACCCCACTCCAGTACTCTTGCCTGGAGAATCCCAGGGACAGAGGAGCCTGGTGGGCTACAGTCCACGGGGTCACAAAGAGTTGGACACGACTGAGCAACTAACACACATACACACACACATTAATGTATGCAGCTTCTAATTCTCCAATAATTCTTATTTATCTGAGAATTTGATAAAAATGATGAACTTCTTCCTCACCAAATACCACACAGTATTTTGCATCAATTTAGGGACATTAACAGGTTATATGAAAGCTAGATTAAAAACTATTTAATCTAGCTTTCATATAACCTGTTGGGTGCATGAGACAAGTGCTCGGGCCTGGTGCACTGGGAAGACCCAGAGGGATTGGGTGGAGAGGGAGGTGGGAGGGGGGACCGGGATGGGGAATACATGTAAAAAAAAAAAAAAAGATACACTATGGTTGTGATAAAAAAAAATTAATTAATTAATTAATTAAAAAAACAAAAAAAAATAAATCACTTAAAAGCAAAAATAAAATAAAAACTATATCTAGCTTTCTAAAATAAAACTAATTCAAATTGAATAAAATTAAAAATTCAGTTCTTCAGTTGTAGCGGCCACATTTCAAGTGCACAATAGCCACAGGGGGCTAGTGGCTATTGGATACACAGATATAAAACATTTACATCATCCCAGAAACTTCTACCAGAGGTGTTCTGGAGTATTAAAATAGTATGATGAGTAAAACTATTTTTCTCTAAGTTTGTTTTGTTTCATAAGATATCTAGATACCACTCTTTATGGCAGATTCCCAAGAGGGTAGAGGCTGTGAATATTTTGCCTACAAACTAGGGTCCAGCAAATCAGAAGCACTGAATAGGTATCTAGTAGATGACATTTTAATTTTGTTTTGATTATATTAATCTAGCAAAAATTGACTAAGCTGGTAAAGACCAGAGCTGACAGCTGTGAATATGAGTCTGTAAATAGCTAAAATTTTTTCTAAGTAGCAGGTCAGCTTATATGTACTACCAACTGACTCCTTAAGCCAATGAGGGCTCCTTATGCTGACTTTAAATTTTTTGAACCATACATTTTGGCTAGATTACTTGAGCAAAATTTTAAGAGCTATCCATAGCCTATTCCATTGAAGAACAGAAAAAACACATACTTACAGCTAATTATTTTTCATTATTCCTATGTGGGTTTTTCCTAGATAGAGCAATTAGGTAACTTATTTTTAAATAGTATGTATATATTCACACAGTCATTTTTAACAAATGAAACATTTTTAAAGTTTACCAAAGTTTTATAGCTTAAGAGATTATGGCATTAAGAGTTTAGAAAACTGTTTTCCTTTTAACATATCTTAAAATTAAGAAAAAGTTGCTGCTATACACAGAACAGTAAAAGGTCTAATAATAACTTTGCACTTACACTGACACATTTTTTCTAACGGTATATTCATCCAAATCGTCATCAGAGCTGCTATCAGTTGCATCAGAATCCAGACCCTCTTCAACATGAGACAACAGCCCTGTAGCAGACAGTGCAAATCTTTGGATTTCTGCAGCCGTACACCTTGCAAAGCCATTTTTTGTATCATTCCACAATTTAGTCTCTGCAGTCAATATGTTGATGTCTGGCTTAATTTCAGTGCATTTAGGTAAACTGTTATCCAAAATTGTGGTAGGTTCATGAAAAATCTTTACTTTGGGGAGCTGATGTTTCATAGAAAATTTCATCTGTTGACCATAGTGCTTAACAACATGCTTTGCCAGGAGCATCTGCAAATGTTTCTGAGTTCTTCTAGCCTGGCTAAGTAAAATTTTCTGTTTACTTACACACTGAAGTAAGCGAGCATTCACTTCCTCCTCCTTTTCAGCAGCTGAGGAACTAATAGGCACATATGAGTGGTCAGGTCCAATTTTGTTTTGAGCATGGTGCAATAAACCCTTTTTAATCTCACCACCACTAACTTTATCCAAAAGTGCATTCTTTTGGTACCATTTACAGTTTTTCAGTTGTACTTTATCTACATTAGTGTCTTTGGTTACATTTGAATCCAAAATAATTTGTACATCTGTCACGCATGGACTTGTGGTATTTGACAGAGTTTCCTTTTTGATGAACTCCTCAGAACGAGAATGACAGATTTTACTGAGCTGAATATTGCCGCCATTACACAGTATGTTTTTCAGCTTATTGCAGTTGGGTTCCCCTAATTTCTTCTGTTTATAATTCTCATTGTATTTATTTAACGTAGCGTTAGAACTCATTAAAAGAACTGTCTGGTAATGTTTTGAAGACTGAGGGGAGCCAAAATGTTTTAAATTCACAAAATTAGTGTTAAGAGTAGGTTCAGGAGTTGGAAATCCCAGCATCTGAGAGAAAGTGTCTCCTTTTAGCTTTTCATCTACAGTTCTTGGACTTTCCACGCACAGCATCTTGTCCGATTCCATGGTACTTGACAAAGATGAAAAGCAGATACCCTTTGTTGCTGCCTCCCTCAGAGCCGGGGTCATGGCGAATCCTGCAGATAATTACTGGAAACCTAAAACAATGTAAAAATAAAAGATCAAATATCAAGAAAAAAGTTTTATGCTTATACCATTACCAAGGGCAACACTTTCAATGTCTCTGGTTAAAAAGTGAATGGAACCAAACTCTTTAATTTGCCAACTCCTAACATTATCTCTTCTCTTTGCTAGTTCATAAGGAATAATAAGGATCATTCTTCACTCTGACTATAGTCCTACTACCCAAAACTCCAATGAAAGATGTACTGTACCTAGTACATAAGAGACAAATATTTGTGAATGCAATTATATCTCAAGATTTCATTTTTTTGACAATGATTAGTGATAGTCAAAAGAAAAAAAAAATCCATCCTGGGATTCATACTTGAAAATGTGAATTGATTCCACATTTCCAAACAAAAATATAATTTTTATAAAATATAACTGCTCAAAATTTTCATTTCTCAATTTAAAATTCATAATTTGAACAGTATTAATAACTAAAACATAGAACTGAACTACAAATAAAAAAGTATATAATTGGAAATTCCCTGGTGGTCCAGTGGCTAGAACTTGGTGTTGTCACTGCCAGGGCCTGGGTTCAATCTCTGCTCAGGGAATTAAGATCCTGCAAGCCTCGTGGCACAGCCAAAAAAAAAGTATATTATTTCACAGGTGCATAAAATAATGTGGTAGTGAAAATGAGCCTAATCAGCGATATGAAAATTTTTTTTCTAAAAAAGGTCTGCAATCATTATTTTCTTTTCACAAATGGATATTCATCAATTATCATTACAGAAGCTCTTACTCCTGCCTGAAAACATAGTGGGGAATATAACAGATGACACTAAAGATTAACCTCATAATTAAACAAATTCCATATTATTTTATCAAAGGAAAAAGTATAAAATTACATATTCTGACATAAAAAAGGTAATTTAGTACTATTAAAAATTATGAAGATTAAAGAGTTACTGAAAACATTTTATATAATTAACAATCACACATATTCGAAGATACTTTGTAACTATAACACTATAATTTCTGTCTCAAAACAGAGGACAGTTAGTAGCCATATAAAAAGTGAAATTCACATAAGCTAAGTCCCTGGACTTAGCTGTAACTCTAGATCCTTCATTCTTGTTTAAAAACACAAAACCAAAATCATATTCTCTGCAAAGACTAACAAGAATTATCAAAAGGGAAAAAAAGGCACAAAATGTCTATGAAATTAGAATAAAAATCTATACACAGGGTTAAAAGTGACAGACTAGGAGAAGATATCTGCAACATATATCAACAAAGGATTAGTATCCAGAATACATAAAGAACTCCTAGAAATGAGCGAAAGTTACAACAGTCAGATACTTCAGAGATGATGACATCCAAATGGTCATTAAACATATACTCAATCTTACCAGTAATAAAGCAAATGTAGATTAATAAAGCAAGAGATGAGTTTTCTAATCAAGTTGAAAGGAGAGTTTTAAGTCTGAAAATATCACTTACCATGGGAATGTGGGTAAATATGACTTCTTACATCTATCTGAACCCTAATTTGATGCTAATTTAACAATAATGTGGAAAGGTGCACAAGAGATCAGAGTTTGTATGAGAAAACCACTCTTTCAAAGTAACCTACACATCTAACAATAAAAGAATGGACATTAAAATAGGAAGGAATGCTAGACAGTGGTTAAAAAATGAATGACCTAGATCTATATGTATCAATATGGACAAACCTCAAAACCAAAATAATTTTTTAAAAAATGGTGCAGAATATATATACTATGGTGCAATGTCCAACTCTTTGCAATCCAATGGACTGTAGCCGACAGGCTCCTCTGTCCATGGGATTCGTCAGACAAGAATACTGGAGTGGTTGCCATTTCCTTCTCCAGGGGGATCTTCCCGACCCAGGGACTGAACCCAAGTCTCCTGCATTGCAGGCAGATTCTTTATCGACTGAGCTATGAGGGAAGCCCATACTATGGTACTATATAAGTAAAATACAAACACAAAACCATACCATATTTATGTATATATACACGTGTGTGTTTATGTGTTTACAAGAACAAAAGAGGAACCAGAAAAATACCCACCAAAATTGTAACAGTAGTCAGGTAAGTTGCATGAAACAGAACTAAGAGTGCTGTTTTAAGATAAGCTGAATTTTAACTATAATATTTTATTACTTAGGGGAAAAAGATTAAGTGAAAAATGAACAAACGTTAACGGTTGTTAATTCTGTGTAATAAAAATATTTGCTTTTTATATTTTACTGTTCAATGTCTCAAAAAACAGATTTCTGTATAATTCTGTCTCAAAATTTATATACTTGTATATGTCTCAAAAATGATAAGTCGTAGTTATAAAAGATTTTCAATTTTTCCAAATGCAAAATAGGAAAAAAATAACCAGAATATTGGGTTTTCTTTTTAAAAATATATTTTGCACTTTTATGAAAAACAGAAAAATATTTAAAAAGCTAGCACTGGGAAATTTTTTTTCAACACTCAATCTGTCACTTAATGCAATGACCATAACTTAGCACTGAGAAATTTTTTTTCAAGATTCAACATGTCACTTAATGCAATGACCATTATACATATCAACAATAGTGTTTAGATAATTACATTGCTCTCTGAGGGAAAATGCCTTAGTCACAGTTCTCTCTGAGGTAGTTATACTCAAAAGATACTATACTCTATCCCCTTCTTACCCACATTCTCTCCTTTAGAAATTTGAAAAGGGTGCCAAGTATGTAATCAAAGTGGTGGGCAGCAGGGACATGGGTGAAATAATGAAAAGCAGTGGATTTCTTATGCCCTGGATAAACTAGAGATAAAGGAAAACTAAAAACTGAGCAGAAAAAGATACACAGATTATTAGATAAGAACTAGAGTTGATAGAAAAAAGAGAAAAAGAAATGTAGACATTGAGAGTGGCTAAGAAACATTTATGGGAGAGAACTAGAATAAAGCATACACACAAAAAACTCTGGTAAGATCTCTACAGCTTACTTGGTGTGATAGGCAGCTTCTAAAATGATCTTAATAATCCCAGTTTCCTGGTATTCATGTCTTTGTGTAATCCTTTCTTCTTGAGTGTGGACTGGATTTAGTGACATTTTTTTCTAGCAAATAGAATGCAAAAGAGCTAATGGGATGCCACTCTTAAAATTAGGTTACAAAGAGACCGTGGCTTCCATCTTGTCATCCCCTCACGCACTAAGGAACACTAACTGCCACACTGTGACCTGGGAAGACTCTTATGGCAAATACTGACTTCAGCCAATAGACGGCAATGACATGAAGCCTGTCAACAGTCATGCCAGTGATCTGAGAAGCAGATCCTTCCTCATTCCAGCCTTCAGAAGCCTGTAGCTCTAAAACCTTGACTGCAGCCTTGTGAGAAACCTTGAGCCAGAGGCTCTCAGAGAAGCCATGCCTAGATTCTTGACCCACAGAAACTGTGAAATAAATGTTTTAAACCATAAAATAATGGATTAATGTGTTACATGCTACATGCTACGTTAGTTCAGTTCAGTTGCTCAATCATGTCCAACTCTTTGCAACCCCACAGACTGCAGCACACTAGGCCTCCCTGTCCATCACCAACTCCCGCAGTTTACTCAAACTCATGTCCATTGAGTCGGTGATGCCATCCAACCATCTCATCCTATGTCGTCCCCTTCTCCTCCTGCCTTTAGTCTTTCCCAGCATCAGGGTCTTTTCAAATGAGTAAGTTCTTCACATCAGGTGGCCAAAGTATTAGAGTTTCAGCTCCAGCATCAGTCCTTCCAATGAATATTCAGGACTGACTTCCTTTAGGATGGACTGGTTGGACCTCCTTGCAGTCCAAGGGACTCTCCACAACCACAGTTCAAAAGCATCAATTCTTTGGCACTCAGCTTTCTTTATAATCCAGCTCTCACATCCATACATGACAACTGGAAAAACCATAGCCTTAACTAGATGGACCTTTGTTGGCAAAGTAATGTCTGCTTTATAATATGCTGTCTAGGTTGGTCATAACTTTCCTTCCAAGGAGTGAGCATCATTTAATTTCATGGCTGCAGTCACCATCTGAAGTGATTTTGGAATCCAAAAAACAAAGTCAGCAAGTGTTTCCATTGTTTCTCCATCTATTTGCCATGAAGTGATGGGACTGGATGCCATGATCTTAGTTTTCTGAATGCTGAGCTTTAAGTCAACTTTTTCACACTCCTCTTTCACTTTCATCAAGAGGCTCTTTAGTTCTTCTTCACTTTCTGCCATAATGGTGGTATCATCCGCATGTTACTGATACTTCTCTGGGAAATTTTGTTCCAGCTTGTGCTTCATCCAGCCTGGCATTTCTCATGATGTACTCTGCATATAAGTTAAGTAAACACAGTGACAAAATACAGCATTGATGTACTTCTTTTCCTATTTGGAACCATTCTGTTGTTCCATGTCCAGTTCTAACTGTTGCTTCCTGACCTGCGATTTCTCAAGAGGCAGTTCAGGTGGTCTGGTATTCCCATTGCTTTCAGAATTTTCCACAGTTTATTGTGATCCACACAGTCAAAGGCTTTGGCATAGTCAATAAAGCAGAAATAGATGCTTTTCTGGGACTCTCTTGCTTTTTCGATGATCTAGCGGATGTTGGCAATTTGATCTCTGGTTCCTTTGCCTTTTCTAAATTCAGCTTGAACATCTGGAAGTTCACATTTCACGAATTGCTGAAGCCTGGCTTGGAGAATTTTGAACATTACTTCACTAGCGTGAAGTAATGAGTGAGATGAGTGCAACTGTGCAGTAGTTTGAACATTCTTTGGCATTGTCGTTCTTTGGGATTAGAATGAAAACTGACTTTTTCCAGTCCTGTGGCCACTGCTGAGTTTTCCAAATGTGCTGGCATATTGAGTGCAGCACTTTCACAGCATCATCTTTTAGGATTTGAAATAGCTCAACTGGAGTTCCATCATCTCCACTAGCTTTATTCATAGTGAGGCTTCCTAA